CAAAGGTAAATTAAGTTATAATATAAATTTGAACTAAAATTAATCTTTATAAAACATTTATTACTAAATCTAAAATAAGTTACTTTGTTATTAAATCTAAATTAGATTATAATAAAGAATAACGAAAAATTTACAAAAAAAAAGTTTTTAAATTATTAATTTGATACTAATATCGAGGGGGAGCTTTTTTTGTGAACTCATGAAAATTGTGATAAATATGAGAACTTGTGCATCATGTGTTATTTCATATAATTTTCTTTCATCTAAAACTACGATTTAGAATATTGATCAACATTTTAAATATATATAATTTAATTGATATATTTAGAATATTTAAAACCATAATCACTATTATCATCCTTATACTTTTAAAATTACAATTTTCATCCCTATAGTTTGCAATACATTGTGATTTACGATTTATCGTCGTTTTCGTCTCTATCGTTTATAATTCATTGTTATTTTCGTTCTCATACTTAAAAGGCAAGAGTTAGTCCCAAAGATGAAAACAACAATTTTAAAACCATAGGGATGAATAGTAACTATTTGTGACAAATCATAGGTATGAAAAATTTAAGAGTCGTTTACTAAACATTTACTTTGGTAAATGCATACCGATTCAATTATCTTAATGGATGAACATAATAATTACCGAGAATCTTATCCGGTAAAAAGGAACACAATGATCAAAATTCTTACCCGATGAGTATCATAACTCTTACCAAATAAACGCTTACCGGGTTATAAACGCTTATCATCAATTCATTTTTATGGCAATGAATGTTATCATATAAAGTAAGTAGGAGTGATGATTTTTGTCAGTAAGCGTTTATTTAACAAGCATTTGGTAAACGATCATTTAGAACATTTCCAACAAGTGTGCTATATTTTATTTTATTTTTTAACAAATTTGATGATCATTCCAAAAAGAATTTCTTTATTTTAAAAAATAGTTTATTATAACTGATGAAACAAAGTGTCACCAAATCTATACTATATTATAAAGCATTTGATAAAAAATTTTAAAAATAATTTTTTATGCATGAAGTATTGTTTATTGACGCATATTACTTAAAATTCAATAGTTCAAGTAAATTATGCGTAAGTACAACTTATTAAAACTTTATTTTTGAATTCATGTAACTATATGCAGATAAACATAATCAAATATATGATAAATATATCATTTTAACTATAAAAAATTAAAATATAATTAAGATAATCATTGAGTTTTAACAGAATACTTAATTATCATTCTTATAAAAATTATATTATTAAGCAAAAATAAATTACTTTGTTATTAAATTTATAATAAAAAATTGAAATAAAGAAAATACATTGAAAACAAAAACTTTTAAATAGTTAATTTAATATTAATATCGATATATTTTTTTCAAATTTATATTTCGTTCAAAAATAAAAATATTATCGTTTTCTAAAACCATATTATATCGACAGATAAAAATAAATAAAATTAAAATCTAGATATATTTTTTTTATTACGCAAATACCCTTCTGATCTTTCAAATTTTTAAAATTAACCTGGTTACTCTTAATTTAATTTAAAAACTAATTTGGAAAAGGAAAATGGAGGGAGTATTGTATGGGCTAATTATTGTTGGTAGGATGCAGGACCTTCCGAATGCAGCTTTCTTCCTTTATTTATAGACCACCGGACCTTTCTCTTCTCAACTTACCATCTTCTGCAACTTCTTTTTCCGACACAAAAATGGCCTCCTCCGCCACCCTCCTCCTCCTCCTCCTCCTCCTCCTCCTCCTAACCCTCTCCTCCGCCATACTCGACGCTTCCCCCGTCCACCACCGCCACCGCCACCGCCAATCCGCCCATCAAAACTACAAAGACGCTCTCACAAAGTCCATTCTTTTCTTTGAAGGTCAAAGGTCCGGCAAACTTCCTCCCAACCAGAGAATGACGTGGAGGAGAAACTCCGGTCTTTCCGACGGAGCCGCCATGAAAGTATAACCTCTTTCTTCTTCTTTATTTTATCGGAAACTCGTTTTTCTTCTTCATAAATATGTGAAATTTGAAGTGGGTTTTCTTAGTTGTGTTGTAATTGGACAATGCAGGTGGATTTGGTGGGCGGATACTATGACGCCGGAGATAACGTGAAGTTTGGTTTTCCGATGGCGTTCACCACCACAATGCTGTCGTGGAGTGTGATTGAATTTGGTCGGTTGATGAAAGGGGAGTTGGGAAATGCGAAAACCGCCATTCGTTGGGCTACTGATTATCTTTTAAAAGCTACTGCTCAATCAAACACCATCTTTGTTCAGGTACATGTATTACAATAGCATCAAACGTCAAAAATGTCTGAACACATTCAGACATTTTTCACGTTCTAAAAACCCCATTTTTTGTTATATTGTTTGCATGATTTTGACTGAAAATTTTGTGGTAAAATTAATGTAATGAAGGTTGGAGATGCAAACAAGGATCATGCATGTTGGGAAAGGCCAGAAGACATGGATACCCAAAGAACAGTGTTGAAGATTGACAGAAATCACCCTGGAACTGATGTTGCTGCTGAAACTGCTGCTGCTCTTGCATCTGCATCTTTGGTTTTCAGGAAATCTGATCCTAATTACTCCAAGATTCTCCTAAAAAGAGCCATTAAAGTAACCAAATTCTTCCATTTCATCTTACTTTCTTTCTAGAATACAAATTTTAAAGACACCATAAATGCTATTTTTGGAAGGATGTTTCCAGCTATGCCCGGACTAAGTCGCCCTTGATAAATTCAGTGGTCACAATTGTTGTGTATGCCTGGAATTTAACATTTAACCTGGGCAGATAGGATATTTGACCACATCCATCATGACCTAAACCACTTAGCCACAACCCTTGTGGTTGAAACCATAAATGTTTTAACTGTCCTAAAGTACTAATTTAGATGACTTATGTTTATAAAATCAAACACTTGTTTCTCTTGGATGTCTTTTTAAACTTTTTATGACACTTTTGAAACAAATAGTTCTGTTAACCCCTAAAAAGTATTTGTTTCAAGGGTGTTATAAAGTAAGTTTGTTAAAAAGTCTAAAGTGTACTTGTAAACTTATTACAATGCTTTTAGTTACAAACACAACATTTTTAGATATGACACACAAATAATTAGTATTTTAAAGTTGTCTACTAGGACACTTAAACACTATTGGCGTCCTATAAACGCGATTTTGCTTATCTTTTATCATGTTACAACAGGTGTTTGCATTTGCTGATAAGTTCAGAGGCTCATACAGTGATGGGCTGAAGAGTTATGTATGCCCTTTTTATTGCTCTTACTCAGGATATCAGGTATCTTCCATTCAAGAAAACTTATGGGTATTTTTGTATGTCAAAAAGGGTTGTCAAATGTGAAATAATTTTGGTGTTTGAAGGATGAGTTGCTGTGGGGGGCAGCATGGTTGCAGAAAGCTACAAGAAGTCCAGCTTATTTGAACTACATTCAAGCAAATGGTATTGCACTTGGGGCTGATGAAAGTGACAATACTTTTGGTTGGGATAACAAGCATGCTGGTGCCAAGATTCTTCTATCTAAAGTAATGCCATTTTGGCTTCCCATTTAATTGGAATCTTTTTGTCTCTTGATTTTTAACATACAAAATGTGAGATGTTAATTTTTATTTGGGTTTTTTTATAAATATTTTGGCAGGCATTTCTCGTTCAAAAGGTCCAATCTCTCCATGATTATAAGGGTCATGCAGATGGCTTCATTTGCTCAATTATTCCAGGAGCCCCTTTTTCTCAAACACAGTACACCCCTGGTAACACTTTGCCTGATTTCTTTGTGATTGCAAGATTGTTACTGCTCACACGTTAAAAAAAATGTCTAAATGTCTTAATAGTCTGGTTTGTTTATACCTTTTCGTCTGTGGTTGGTGGAAATTTCTATTTTGTTTCTTATAATTTTAAAATTACAAATTTTATCCCTATGATTTACAATTTATTGTTGTATTCGACTCTTTTACTCCAATTTTCTTTATAAACATAATAAATCTAAAACTAAAAGCTAAAAACTTAGAAAATGATACAAAAAGGATTCGAACCCAAACCAACTGTACACAATAAAATGATATGATGACATTTTCACTCCGTCTATAATATACCAAGACGGAGGAACGAATACATGGCATGGGAAATTCATACGCTCCACAGACGGAGCAAAAAGCAGAGTCGTGGTCAGAAGACGCCGACCTATTCTATTAGAGACAACCGGGAGAAGCTCATCCGAAACTAGAGCTAGAAAGACTTGTTTCGTACATGTTCTTAATTTCCTCATGAAGGGGATTTCTCATATTTAGAATCTTTCTACGTGGTGCTCCATTTACTATTCTTTCGTACTTTCTTCTTTTTGCCACGCGATAGGTCAGCAATGCGTGAGCGAAGATTCTAGTAGAGTAGGTTCGCCCCTAGTTGGAGATAGCTCTAAGCTAGCTTATTAGTGGGTCTGCCCCTAGTTGAGCATAGTTGAAGATAGCTCTAAGCTAGCTTATTAGTGGGTCTGGCCCTAGTTGGAGATGCTCAGCTTGGAACATCTCCGACGGGTATATTATATTTTCTTCTAAATTTAGAGATTTTCTAGTCCTTTTTAAATTAGCATAGCTGTTACAACTAGACATATATAGAACTGATTTGTCGTTACTTGCATACAGGAGGACTTTTGTTCAGGATGGAAGACAGTAACATGCAATACGTAACTTCTGCCTCATTCTTATTGCTAACTTACGCCAAATACCTAACCAAATCTCACAAGGTTGTCAACTGCGGTGGCGCAATTATCACCCCACGCCGGCTGCGAACCATCGCCAAGAAACAGATCGACTACCTACTCGGGGATAATCCATTAAAGCTATCATACATGGTCGGATATGGTCCAAGGTACCCGCGGCGGATCCACCACCGAGCCTCATCTCTGCCATCCCTATCCGCCCATCCCGGAAAAATCAATTGTGGATCCGGATTCACCTTCATGCATTCAGAGAACCCAAACCCGAACATACTGATTGGGGCGGTGGTGGGTGGACCAAATGGACACGATCGTTATTCCGATGAACGATCGGATTATTCACAGACGGAACCGGCGACGTATACAAATGCACCGCTTGTTGGGGCACTGGCGTATTTGGCGCATTCATCTGGACAGATTTACACGGATAATTTGGATTGAAAGGAATTAGGGTTTGTGCTTTTTGATTTTGGAAATTGGGGAAGAAACGGCTTTCAAGTATGTATAATGGTTTTTAGGGAATTCTATTGAATGTGGGTTCATTCAAGAAAATTAAACACCTAATGGCTAATGGTATCAGATGATATTCGATAATTGTTTATCCACAAAAGTAACATGTTTCATGATATTTGTCGATTTGCATTATATCTACAATTTGAACATTCATAATCATAAAATTGTTATAAGACTTCTTAATAATCACAAAATTATCACTATACAACTTTAGATCATTACATCATTAACTTATAAAGTCGATCAATAAATATAAATTGATTTTATAGGTTTTACAAAAAACCCTTGATCTCACGTGAATCCAACCCTCGACTGAAATATAATTAATTGAAACAATGGTAAAATAAATAAATAAAAGTAAAAATACCATAAGACCCTTGAATTTAACACATTAAATAGATGGTCATTTGCCTTAAGGACCAAATTTAGAAAGGATACAAATGTGGAGGTTTCTTATATAATAATTGAAGTTAAGAGATTAAAACCATAATTTTTGGTATATCTTAGAGACCAAATCCGTAATTTACCTTTTTTATATTATTATTCTCACTAATTATATTATTTTTGTTATGTTTATTTAATTATAAGATTTTTTGTTCTTGTCCTAATCAATTGAAAAAGTAATTTATATCTGATAGACGTCTAACTGATAAGAATTTAATGATTGATGTTTAAAAAAAATAAACAAAAGGAATGTATTTGAATTTAAGGTTGGATATTAGTTTTATTAAATTTTCTTGGTATGTTTTTTTAATTTTATATTTTTTGTATAAATACAAAATAACTAAAAATATACATTAAATTAATTTATATTAATTATATAAACATCCATTACATTATTTCGGAAAATTACAATTAAAATGATAATTTTAATATTAAAATACATTTATTATATCTTGATATTAATAAAAACAAAAAATAATGAAAGGTGAGATGCTTATTTTTTAGCTCATGCTCAATTTTTAAATTTGATTAAATATGTCTTAATGTCCATACTCATGATTTAAAAGGGGTGAAATATATGCAAATTTTGATATTAAAACTATAAACTTTTATCTATTGGGCAAATTGCATGAAAAAGTAGCGTACTTTAACTTTCCTATTTTGGGTAACGTACTTTCAAAACTTTTATTTTGGTACCTAAGATTTAAAGTTTTAAACATTTAAGTATTCGGGTAACTGGTTGAAGTATTAACCGATTATCATATTGATGTGGCGAATGATGTGATATCCAACTCAGTATTATTTGCTGACGTGGTCAATAACGTGGATTTTTTAAAATCTAAAATTAGTCTTTTTTTTAGTCTAAAATTAGTCTTTTCGGGTTACTCGGGTACTTAAATGTTTAAAACTTTACATCTTAGGTACCAAAATGGAAGTTTTGAAAGTACATTACCCAAAATAGGAATCAAGTTAAAGTACGTTACTTTTTCATGCAATTTGCCCTTATCTATTATAAGATTTAAAAAGTTCTATTTTGTAAACTACGTTATTTGTATAAACCGTACAAATCTCATTCAATCAATTATAATTTTTAATATTTTTGTAATTATTAGAGGTTAATTAATCATTTTATTATTAATATTATCATCTTCATTATATTGAATTTAAGGAAATACATGAAACAATTTCACTGAAACATAGAAGCAACCATATTATTAAAAGATTAATGTAAGAGGTTGTTTGTTTACCTCTTAATAGTTCTTTTAAAAGGCAGTCTCTGAATCATTAAAAGATGAATTTTGTTAAGCAAAAAAAAGGTCTGTCTCTTAATTGTTTTAAAATCCTCTGAATGATTTTGCATCTTGAGTCTCCTTTAACCATTTAGCATCCTAATTTCATTATAAACAATTATATTTTATTTTATACTATATCATAAAAGTCTCTTAATTATTCTATTTATTTAATTATTCAACAACTATCAAACAACCCCTAAATTATATTATTAAAAGATTGGATATAAAATAATTAAAAGAAAATAAAGTTGGATGTTGCGGATGGTTGGGGTTTGAGAAGCTGGTCAAAGGCTGCAAAATTCGTGTCAGATTCATCAAGAAAATAAGGATCCCCAGTCAAGTGCAACCACTAAGGACCGCCCCTCCATGCTCATTACTTCTTTATTTAAAAACATCATGTAATTATATATATATATATATATATATATTTTTTTTTTAAATATAATTTTATATTTATAATTACATCGAATAAACCTTGTGAACTGGCTCTACTGACAATAAGTTTTAGATCTTTAGGTTTAGGGGCTGTTTGGCAGTTGTTGAATGATTTAGTGCAGAATAGTTAAGTGGTCAGAATGRTTAAGAGAGTCATAATGGTTAAGTGCTGAATGAAATAATGTTGTTTGGTAACTGTTCTCTGAATGAGAGTAAATTACCATTTTAACCCTTTGTGCATAAACCCATAATTTCAACATACAATGTGCATAAACCCATGAAATTGAAGTGCACATACAGCAGGCTTGTGAATCAATAACAATGGGGTATAACCAGGCTTGATAATCAATAACAATGGGTATAAGTTTCCTGAAATTTATGTTTGTTTCCTGGTATTTCAAGATCTGCTGTTTCAAGATACAGTATAACAATGGGCAGAATAATACCTGAAGCGAGGAAAAGGATGGAGGCGACTGGAGACGAGCGACGACTGGAGACGAGCGGCGACGTGGAGCGGCGACGTGCAGCGGTGACGAGAGGCGGCGACTTGCGGCGGCGACGAGCGGCGACGTGCAACGGTGACGAGAGGCGGCGACTAGAGGCCACGGCGACAGACGGAGACGACAGACGGCCTTGGAAGAAGCTGACGTGAGACTGCTGGAAGAAGAAGACCGACCGACGATCGTAGGGTGGGGGTGGCGATTTGCAGACCGGCGACGAGAGGGTGGGGGGAGGGGCTTTGAAGACCGGCGACGAGAGGAATGAGATGGTGGGGGGAGGAGCTGTGAGCGACGTGTAAGGAAGGAGAGGGTAAAATTGGAAAAAGAACGATCTGAATGGTTGAGTGAACCCTTGGATGCAAAATGGTTAAGAGGGTGTTGTAACCATTAAGAGGCTTGAATTTTTTTGCCAAACACTCATTATCTCTTACCGATTAAGAGGAACCATTAAGAGCCAAACAAACAGCCCCTTAGAGTTTCCGGTTCGAGTAAGGCCACTAGGATTTTTCTGTCTGTTTTTCAAGGCCTTTAGGATTAGTCAAGGTGCACACAAGTTGATTAAGACATACATGGTTAATAAAAGAAAATCAATATGAATAGATCAATACCCAATGCCTATAAACAATTCTTTAATCAAAATTCATGCTCAAATTGGTTTTATCAGATCCCGTCTGCTTCTGATATGAGATTAGGTAATTTAGTTAGTTGTACAAAATTGTTGTGTTTCAGCTACGCATTATGGATGTAAGGACAAATTGGAGTGTATGTGTTATGATTTTTTTTTGTGGATGTTAGTTTTTTTAATGCAAGTATCGATTCCCCCCCTTTGTATAACTAACAGTTTTTTTTTTGGCACCTGGTGAAATAATATCGGTATGTTGGTCAAGCGACCTAACAAGAAACAAGTTAAACGTGGAAGGAGTTAACAGCTTACCATAAGGAACTGTGGTATGTGTGGTCAAAAATGGTGCAAGAATCCAGATGAATACTATGACATTACAGTTAAATACTAGCTAGGAGATTAAATCAACTACGACGTTACAACTGGATGAAAGTAGTAGAGTCAGATGAATTCGCTGAGATGATGGTTTATCTTTCAAGACAAATACTTAAAGCTCTATTTCAAGGTGGAACGAGCCTTCGTAACTAAATAAACCAATTACTTCTATGACGATCGACTCAAATAGGAGCATTAAGATTTGATTAATATTTTCCACGATTATTGTTTTTACTTATTTTCATGGTAAAATCTAGAATCGTTCAATAATCAGAATCAAACTTCCGTTTATAAATCAACCTCCTGAATAGAAGATGATTGGATAACCAATCTTCGATCATATCCTAACTTTCGTCGGGGATAAAACGTAAAATCGATCATCCGATAACCGAAGGTTAAACCTGAATGGTCAAATTCTTAATAGAATTCATTCAACACCACAAAACACAACCTTATAACTAAAAGAGACTTCTTTTCACAACTAATTATGTAATTGTAAGCAAAATAATAAAATGAAATATAACCACTGGACTAATATGATATGAACATTAACATTAAAATAACACTGTCTACATAAAACACAGAGTAATCATACATAAAATTCTCATTACTTTTTTTTTGAAGACATACCAGATTATACGAGAAAGCAAACACCGTTTTATAATATTCAACAACGAGCAAGTAAAAGGAAAAAGGAAAAACATATACGATACTCGACGTGATGATATTTGATAAACTTCAGAGTTTCAATGTTGAAGTCTTATAAAATACTGCCCAAATGTCCAGAAAATTATAACCCAAAGATTGAGAAATGTAAATACTGGAGAGAAAAAGAGCGCCTAATTCTAACAATATCTCGAATGATTTGGAATGCGAAAGCATGGGGATATAAACCCCCATTCCTTCATGTGAATTTCATAATATGTGATAGAAATACAAAAGGCTGATGTGAAATAGGATCAAAAATATGGATCAAGATTTGCAATTATGTTTGACAATATCTGTTATTGTGTTTGGAACTGTTTGTGCCAATTTCGTCACTAATAGAGCCCAAGCATAACTCATGCCGTTTAACTTCAATAATTGGCACCCTCAATGCCATTCCTTCTACAAATTGGCACTATTAGTGTCGTTTCTTCAACACATTTTTCTTCTTTTATTTTATATTGTAGTTTTTTCATCTCTCGGCTCCTAAAAAGAAATGAGTTTTTATTTTCTAAAATGCTTCAATAGTTTTGCTATCTTGTTTTTCTAAAATAGAGAATAAGGGAGCAGACTCTAACTATAGAGAATTCTCTAAAACCTGATGGTATGAGATATAAATGATTTTTTTTAATTTCAATAATGAGATTGAGTTATTATTTTTCTATACAAACTTTAAAAAAAAGTGTATTGGGATGATAAACTAGAGAATATTATAGTAATATAATTTATGTTAAAAATTTTAAAATAGAAAATTTGTGTTTTAGTTCTCCATATTAGAAAAATTATAGAATAGCTGTTAGTACCCGAATATTGTTGTTCATCTGGTAGATATTCATGGTATTCGTGAACCTGTTTCTATATATCTACTTTATGGAAACAATATTATTTCAGGTGTCATTATTCCTACTTCTCCAGTTATAGGTTTAATTATACACTGGACGAAGGATGAAATGAATTTAAGTTAAAATTGTATAATTTAAACGAAACTAAAATTCAAAATGACAGATTATAGCTAAAAATATATGCAATTAAACAACCTAACAAATATGAGTTAGTGTCATTTGCCCCAATAACCCTTTTAGCTTTATGTAGTCATTTTGAATTTACATCTTCATGGTCAGAATGATTTTGCCAGCATCTAGATTTAGACGCACATAATATGAGATTTAAACGAATGTGTCACAACCCACGTGATTAAACGCTTACTGGGCTGTTTACTGTCAGGTAAGGCTTATTGGGTGTCACTTATCTTAACCGATGAATATTTTATGAACAAAGAATCTTAACTATTAAGAGGTATACCAAAGAACGAAAATCTTATCCCACTAGTGAGGAAGATGAATCTTACCATATCAATACTTATATGATACGATCATTAACAATAAATCTCTAACATTAAAATATTATCAAATAAAAAATAGAAAAATAATGAGTATAATTGATAAACACTTAAGAGGCACACTTTTTTTGTTAATTGTTTGGTTTGGCGTTGAATGATTAAGTGGTTTGGTGCAGAATGATAAAGTGATCAGAATGATTAAGGGGCTGTTTACTTGTGGTTTAATGAGCTTACCGGATAAACGGGCTTATTCGCACAGCCAAAATGATGTGTTTACTTTGGGCTTATTCGCACAAAAAGGGGCTTATTCGCACAGATCAAAAACAACACTTGTCCCCATTAAGCCCAAAAAAAGACCCGATTACCCTTGGACCTGAAACCCAGCGTATCTTCTTCCTCAACGATCGGCCGATTGTTGTTGGGTACCATCTGCTTGCTTCAAATCGATTGTTGATTTTGTGAATATTCATCTACATCGTCGCCCTCTTCTCCTCCAAAGAACCCTAATCGGCCCGATTGCTCTCTTCTTCTCCATGACAGTCGACGCTCTCTTCTTCTCCATTGACATATCGACTTCAGGTTCCATATCGATTTCATGAGTTTGTTCGATTTCATGTTTGTTGGATTTCTGTTTGCTCGATTTCTGTTTGCTTGCTTGTGTTCGATTTCATG